GGGGGATAGCTTGAGGCTCTGTCTCAAAAAAAAAAAAAAAAAAAAAAAAAAAGATTTGTGAACTTTACTATATGTTAAACAACTTTTTTTTTTTTTTTTGCAGTTTTGGCTGGGGCCAGGTTTGAACCCACCACCCCTGGTGTATGGGGCCAGTGCCCTACTCCTTGAGCCACAGGCGCCATCCATAACTTCAGTGAAAGAATTACTATTTCGTATACTCTATCAGCATTCAGCTATCCCTACGTAGAATCATAAAAACTTCTTGATGGCAACATATGGGCCACAAAGTAGAGTTAATAACAGTCAAGTTCCTTGTAAATAGTTTAATCACATTTTTAAACAAAAATTTTACCATAAATTAGTAAGAAGTTGAACGTAAAATAAACATATATAATTAAATGCTAAGTTATTTAAAATAAACCAGAAACTAAAGTTAGACAATTTGATTGCAAACTTAACTACAAAAGATGAAACTCATTGGCCATTGATTGAAAAGGAAATACAATTCTAACTCACAGAATTGGAAGTTATTCTTTATTGACAAACATTTAGAATTAGAAATGTCAGTAGAAAAATAAAATTTAAATAATTTTCTGTTGTACAAAGGTTTGATCATTTGGACTGTAGCAGTTAGTGAAAGAACCTAATACAAAGAGTTAAGCTGATTTTAGTCACAACCAGCCATACAGAGAGCACAAAAAAGAAATGTAAGTACATAAAACCTTCTGAGTGTGGACTGCTAATGGCACCAGGGCTTCACATTGCAGGAAGTGGTCTCTTAGGGAAGGGTGGTGTGAGCTGAGTGTAGTAAGAAATGAATTCAAACCGGAGCAGTCAGAAAGGACACTGCAGTCAAAAGCCTATACACACTTTTTAAGTGAGTTTTAAGATTTTCTAAGAACTAATATTGTGTGGCAAAAAAAGTAAGTTAAACAGCACAGAGAGACATCTTTTTCTTGGAATGTCCTCTATACTTTTATATATGAACTTAAGTTTTCACAAAATGCTTTTAACCCCAAAATCCACATTAAAAAAATCAAGAAATCAGTTTTTAATGGTAAGGGGCTGCTTCCTTCCCTTGCATTTTTTTTTTTTTAAAGGTAAGTAGAAGCACAGCTAGGGAAGGGGTGGTTGCATATGTCTCTCAGAAAATCAGCTGACAAAAATTCTCAAAAAATTGGCTTGGTGCCTGTAGCTCAGCAGCTAAGGTGCCAGTCACATACATCAGAGCTGGCTGGTGGGTTCGAATCCAGTCCAGGCCTGCCAAACAACAATGACAACTATAACCAAAAATAGCCAGGCTTTGTGGTGGGCACCTGTAAGTCCCAGCTACTTGGGAGGCTGAGGCAAGAGAATTGCTTAAGCCCAGGAGTTGGAGGTTGCTGTGAGCAGTGATGCCACAGCACTCTACCCGGGGCGACAGGTGGAGGCTATCTCAAAAACAAACAAAAAACTACATAAGGTAAAATAAAATGTTTGACACAATTGCCAATATTCTTCCATCTAAGCAACCACCCCGAAATAATTCTATATTTGAGACAAAAAAGGGAAAAATAAAAAGTGGAGAAGACATTACATTCTTTATCATTCAAATAATTTCTCCCTGAAAATATTTCAAGCTATACAGTTCAATCTATATAAAGTTTATATACATTTATTCACAGGAGAATGCCTCACATATGGGGATGGATGAAACATTCAGTAATTTAAAGATTTTTTTGAAGTTTTTAAAAAGAGTAGATAATCAAAATAAATCAAACAAGAAACAGATGGGGGAAAAGGCCACCTTCAAAATGCCTTAATTTTATGTTGTGGCTCTAAAGAAAAATAACCTAATATTTAGATCATGGCTCAATATGTTCAAAAAATTACTGTTCAAGGGGAGGGATCTACCAACTACTGGTCTGCGTTCAGCTTGTGAAATTATATCCAAAAGAACTCTATTAGAGGCAAACTTCAACAGAAATGATCAAAATCACTTCCCAGAATAAAAGATACAATTTCCCCAGATTTCTTAAACGGAAGACAAACTTTTTAAAACTGTAGCTTCTTGAACTGAAAACTACAATCTTTAAAAATTTACTTAGAAAATGCTGGGCCCAGTGGCTTGCACTGGTAGTCCCAGCTACTTAGGAGACTGAGTTGAGGGGATCATTTGAGGCCAGGAGTTCAAGACCAGTTTGAGCAATATAGTGAGACCCTATCTCAAAATTTAAAAAAAAAGAATTTTTAAAAATTTGCTTAGAAGAAATATTTGACCTTCTTTCGGGGGAATTAGTAAGGACATTTGGCTACATTCCAGCTTTACTTGTAATTTCCCACCCAGCCTGAGTATGGTATCATGATTTTTATAAGAGGGCTAATCAGTCAAAAGAAATTGTCCTATTAATTTTTGTGATAGCTTTGTAATTTTTTCTCTATGACCTTCCCTGGAAAATTAGTCCTCTTGGTAATTTTTAATCAGAAGCCAGAGTGCCTATTGTTTTTATTTTATTTTATTTTTATTATGTCGCCCTTGGTAGAGTGCTGTGGCACCACAATTCACAGCAACCTCCAACTCTTGGGCTTAAGCGATTCTCTTGCCTCAGCCTCCCAGTAGCTGGGACTCCAGGCGTTGCATGTTGTTTTTAAAGGAACAGATATGTTCATATCCATATGACTTCATGAGGTATTAGCCTTAATCTCACAATAAAAACCTTCCTTTAAAAGTGTCAGATTTAATTACCAGTAACTGTTTTGAAAACAGATAACAGAAACAACCACCACAATGATTGTATTCCATATAAAGCAGCAGAGGCAGTGAGGATCAAGTTAGAGATTTACTTTTTGTAATTCTTTCCCTTTTGAATGTCACAGTTTTCAGGCCTTTTAATGAAAACGAAAGGCAAAAGAATAAAAATTAAAATAGCTAAAACAGAATTTTAAAAGTTCTTGGTATTTAATTGTCTTTAAGGATATAAATTCTTTTTAATAAAAACACAAGAGGGGAAATGGGGGCATATCTGAAAATTCAACTTTAGGCACTTCCTGGGAGTTGACACCCAATACTGTACAAGTGGGCTAGGTACCACTAAGTAAATACATTAAGACTAAGAAACCAACTACCACTACTCTAGTTTCAGAAGCATTTCTACAGTTTTTCAAGGGTCATTAATAAACCCAAGTCACTAAGAAAAATTATAACAGAATGTTCAAGGTAAGAACTAATATTTGTGCCTCAAAGTCCAAAGATTATCCTGACCAATCTGGCTTATAGTGTCTAACTCCAGCTATTTAATAGGGCATGTATGAATCCAATTTAACTAAATACAATTAAGGGAATTAAAAGTGATAAGAAAAACTGGTACAGAAATTAAAAAAAAAAAAAAATCTTGGTTGAGAACAGTGGCACATGTCTGCAGTCTCAACACTTTGGGAGGCCAAGGTGGGAAGATCACTGGAGGCCAGGAGTTTGAGACCAGCCTGAGCAATGTAGTAAGACCCCAACTATAAGAAAAACAAAAACAAAAAACTTGTTTAAAGTCCCAGCTAGCTTATTTTGATAAAATGTACAAAATAACAAATTCACATTTCTTAAAATAGAACAGATAATCAGAGGTCAGGAAAATTATCCAGAAAATATCACATTATTCAGTGTTACCTACTTTTTCTTTAATCAGTGGAAATCAAAGCCACTACTTGAGCTATACTTCAATATTTTTTCTTGTTTTATTTCACCAAATACGTTTTCAAAGCTATACTTAATCAAAACCTACTTGGCACTTAATGTCATGAAGATGTAGCCAAAAAAAAAAAAAGTCTGCCTAATTTTAATCAAGATTAGATCAATTTAAGATTTTAGTACATACTCTGCTCATCTGAAATAAACCAGTATCTTCCATAGTTTCTCTGCAATAAGCAACAACGCCTTATCTCACAGAATACTGTTAATTTCAGTGCAAAGGATGCCAATTCAGAGGCATTGCTGCCCTGATTTGAGTCAAGGTGCATGTGTAAAACTGCTTAAAGATCTACAAAAAAAGAAATCCAAGAAACTTGTTTTGTTTTGGTTGAGAAGGCTGAGTTCACAAACATCTTCAATTCCAGGAGCTTCAAACTAAGGAAAGGGCTGAGATGGCCTTCACGTTCCTGTTCACCCACGTTGACTCTGTTTGAAGAACGAAGAAAATACCACACTCCCCAATGGATTCTTTTTGAGAATTCTATAAAACATAGGTTCATCTCAGCATAAGGGTATGCTATAGAGTAGCTAAAACCCGTAAAAAGGAGACCACTACTACACAAAATGTCTGTCCGGTGCCTAAGGTGAGGGCTTCAAATGGTATCATTTCCTTCCCCGCTGCTCGGTAAACTCCAGCGATTGCTGCGCCTGAGTAAAAATTCAGGGTGTTGAAGAAACAAACAAACAAAGTTAAAATCATGAAAACACAGCATTTAGAATTCTACTACAAGCAGAATACTCCAAATTTACATACATTAAAATTAATTTTATTTTCCCTATCTTGTCTGCTGACAAGGTTTGAAGTATCTATTTCATAGTTTGCAGATCACTGATTGAGTGCTTTCAGATGCTGACTCCTTAAAACTAAGAATCTCTTAAATTTATTGAGTTAAAGGCAATAAAATAATTTGGAAGTCAGAATCAAAATCTCACGACCTGATTATGAACTCAACAACATCTCTCATTCCCCTGCCAATCAGCCCCACGCCTAGCATTTAACAGATACCCAATTCTTGGCAACAAAGGATTAAGAATCTTTCGAGTTAGAATGAGCAAGAAACAGTCCACAGGAAAACTCTGCTCTACCTTCTATTATACTCAGAGTTTCCTTCAAGAAATGCATGGAGGAGGAGGGAGGAGAGGGGTGGGAAAAAGAAGAGAGAAGGACTCTAAGCCATAAAGTTGTTCTTGAACTTAGTGTTTATAGCACAACTATGTATCTGGTATTAAGACTTTCTATGCACATTAGCTCATTTAATCACCGTTCAAGTGTACGAGGTGGCTAGTAGCATCCCTATTTTACTGAGGGACAAACTAAAACAGGCTATCGGAGCTAATAATCCAGTACAGAAACTGGAAATAAGCTCCCTAAGGCAGCAGGAGGTGAAGGTGATACAGTGAGAACACAGAGAAACTAGGCCACTTTCTCACAAGAAAAAAAGAAAAAAGAAAACCTCAAGTCAAAGAAACAGAGGAAGATCTCTGCTTAAAGCTCAAGGTACGTGTATAATTCACAGTAAAAAAAATAAAGTTACAAACTAGTAGAAAAATTACATTTCTATAAACAGTATGTTTATGTTTACACCTATACCTAAAAAATGCATACACGCTAAAATGCAAATTGTAGTTATTCTTAGGGATGGGAAAATAGAGGATTTTAAATTTTACTTAAAATTTCTAATTTATATAAATACATGAGTCTAAAAATGATTTAAACTGATGCTCATCCCTATAATGGTGTCCTATGACATGAGTTAAAGCCCAAACAGGTACCTTTCTAAATAATTCTTGCCATTAGCCGGGTGTGGTGGCTCAGGTCTGTAATCCTAGCACTCTTGAAGGCTGAGGTGGGTGCATTGCCTGAGCTTATGGGTTCGAGACCAGCCTGAGCAAGAGTGAAACCTCATCTCTAAAAATAGCATGGTGTTGTGGCAGGTGCCTGTAGTCTCAGCTACTCGGGAGAATGAGGCAAGAGATCGCTTAAGCCCAAGAGTTTGAGGTTGCTGTGTGTGATGATGCTATAGCCCTCTATGGAGGGTGACAAAGTGAGACTCTGTCTCAAAAAAAAAAAAAAAAAAAATCCTGTCATTAGAACTTGTCTTTTATCCTCAAGGTAACTCATCAACCATCTAGCAAGGCCACTAGGCAGATGACAGTTGATCAGAAAGTTGTCTTTCCAAAAAGACGAATACAGCTGACCACCTCCTGACACTGACCACCCCCTTAGCTGGCCTAATTCTCATAGACCGGAGATGCACCACATGTACATGTCAGTACAGTAGCCTAGTTCTTTCTGTTGACCAGTTTGTTACAGGCTCTTGAGTGGTCAACTGAGAGGGACCCTACTCTCTTTACTTTGCTAGGGGCCTATCTCATAAACTGTACCACACATAGCTTAACTTGGGTTCCCTAAAGCCACAGAAATAAACTCTGACTCAGGATTTCAAAGAGGTTAGCCAAATAACAGGGCCCTGAGGGTGATAAAAAAACCCAAACATAAAAATACAGCACTTATGGCGGAAAGCCACTCCTCTCTTCATCCCACTCAGATACGTTTCTAAAATGGGTCTTGAAATTAACTGACTTGTCATATTAAACGTTTTTGACTGGTATTTTAATGTCTAACATACTTGTCAAGATTCCAGCAGTAATTGGTCCCACGATGCCCATCAACAGGATGCTTACAGACATGAACCTACCATATTTGTGATGTCTGAGGGTGAAGAGGGCCAGTAATCCAGCAGGGACGTGAAAGAAGAGAGAAGACACCAGTGCCCACAGGAACACACCATACCACATCTCTACGAGGAGAGACAAAGGCCGAGAATCAGTGCCTTTTCCAGCGTGACCCCTGCAAACTGAGACTCATGTCTGTTGTCTTTCTTTTTCTTTTTCTTTTTTTGAGACACAGCCTCACTTTGTCACCCTCGATAGAATGCAGTGGCATCGGGGCAGCGCCTGTGGCTCAGAGGAGTAGGGCACTAGCCCCATATATCAGAGGTGGTGGGTTCAAACCTAGCCCTGGCCAAAAAACTGCAAAAAAAAAAAAAAAAA